CTTAGCCCCACTGTTCACTTTCCCAGTCAGATGGGCAACAGAGTGAAGATGGAACTAAAAAATGTTATCTCCAACTACTGATCGGAAAACTTACCTCTGTGTGTACATGCATAAAATTGCTGTATTCTCTCAAATCAGAGGTTGCAGGAAATACAGTGATTCCTCCATGTTCTCTCCCCATTGAGAAAGTGGAGGAATATTGGGGAGGGGCGAGTCTGCATGCAGATCCAATGAGGCCAGGTCAGTGGGCCAAATATTCCCTTTTCCGGCACTGGACGATACCGCTGTCACTGTAAAACTGCAGCTCCTTATGTTGAGTGTTTATCAATAATGTATTTAAGTCCTTCAGTGTTGCTTGCTTGCATCCTTGTCCTGCTGCTACTTGGGCTCATGTAGTGCTGAGGCTAGGGAGGGACCCTGCAGTTGGGTGTGGTGTGGAAGTGTCCGCTATTGTTATATGTGTCTATTACAATGGTTTCCAATCTTGGGTAACCCAGGTGTTCCTGAACTACAACTCTCAGAAACCCCGGTCAGCACAGCTGGTGGTGAAGGCTTCTGGGAATTGCAGTCCAGGAACAGCTGGGTTACCCAAGGTTGGGAACCATTCTAATAGATGTGTGCAATTTTTTAGCATATGAGTATCATGGCCAGCCCCTAACTGGTGGGTATTCATGGGGTTTCCAAAACAAAACACATGTGGATGCTGTGTGTGGATGCTGAACTAAACTGTACCAACAGCAATCCAAACAGCAATCTATATACAGTACTTGTCTGTACAGGCCCTAGCACTCCTGTCGTTCCCAGTTCGTAGACCAATATCTCTGCTGACTAGGGATGGTAAGAGTCAAATTCGTCCCCTCTGGGAGTGACTAGGTAAGGATGTGTCCTGCTGGGTGTGCCATGTTCCTTACTGTTGTTTTAATATTCATATTGTTGGCCAATTACAAATAGCGCCAATCTTTTGGCATGAGAATGTGGCATATTCTGTTCAGCTGGTCGGTTTTTTGTTTTGTTCTGGTAGCATTTCCAGTCACATTATTTTGTCTTGCCTTTGGCTTGTGTAATCACCTATATCAGTCCTTCGAGGCAGTTGCTGGGCATGTCCAGATGACATGATTGATGATATGCAGAATGGGAGTCAACCCTATTCTTTTTACTTGCTTTTAGCCCATATGGGTAAGGACTACAACTGCAAAACAATTTCTTTTGTTTTTAAAATCTTCTCTTAGTTTATCATTATAGCGAAATGGATACACCACTAACTGAAATGCTTGCCATGTTTTGTCACTTCAGCATTATTTCATTTGTTGAACATTAAGAAGAGAGAGAGAGAGGTCTGAATGTAGGTGAAAGGGGTATCTAAGAGGATGATGATAATGGCAGGGAAGGGTGAGGAGAAAGGGAGATTGTGTGACTTGTGGACATTTGAAACATACTTTTCAAAAGTACTGAAATATTTCTGTGTGAACGGTGACAGCGATTTAAATGCAAGGGTCCAGTATAAAGAAGTTGGCGTCAATTTGGGACATACCTTGATGTGGCAATGCCTTATGAAAACAAAACTCTTAGGTTTTTACTTCAGCAGAAATGAAAACCTAATGTAGCATTAATCTGTGTGAGCTTTATGCCTGATACATGCCATCAGGTCATTTCCAATGCATGACAATCGTAATAGGGTTTCAAGATATGTGAACTAGTTAAAGAATGGTTTTACCAGTACCACGTCCCCCCTTGGTTAGTTTCTATTTCAAAATGAGGATTTGAACCAAGGTCTTCCAAGTCCTACTCTGTCATTCTAGCTAGTTAAAGAATGTTTTTAACAGTACCACGTCCCCCCTCAGTTAGTTTCTATTTCGAAATGAGGATTTCAAGTAGGTCTTCCAAGTCCTACTCTGTCATTCTATCCACTATACCACACTGGCTCTCTTCTATGAACTTTATGTAATAATGCTTATTTAACAATGGGTCCTGAGAAACTATGGGTTGTACTGAAAGAGCTTCTTGTCTTGTGGACAAGAAGCTACCATTAAGACTGATTATGGTTTCCTGTTGGCAGAGGTGTCAGATAAGGATGCATTTTATCGTCTTATCTAGTCAGTCTGTACCCAGAACATTTCATACAGAAAGCCAGACTAGATTCAGACGAAGGAGGAGTGAAAAATCAGTGGATGAGACGTCAATAATTTAAGATGTGCAAATGATACCATCTTACTGGCAGAAAGCAGCAATGACTTGAAAGAACTTTCAGGTAAAATGAAAGAAGAAAGTGCCAAAGCAGGACTGCAGTTGAACATTGAGAAGACAAAAATCATGACTGAAGAACAGCATAACTTTAATGTTAATAATGAAGAAATCGAAATTGTTAAAGATTTCATATGCCTTGGTTCAACTATCAACTCAAATGGAGACTGCAGCCAAGAAATCAGAAGGATTTCTGGAAGGATTTCTGGAAGGGCAGCAATAAAGACTGGAGACCAAGGTCACCCACACTACAAGTATTGTATTCCCAGTCACTACGTGCAAGTGTGAAAGCTGGAGAATAAAGAAAACAGACAGGGGGGAGGTTGATTTGTTTGGAAGAGAGCTTTGCAGATACCTGGACTGCCAGAATGACAAACAAGTTGGTCCAGAGCAATGCAAATCGGATCTATCTCTGGAGGCAAAAACAATGAAACCGAAGCTGTCCTAGGGCACATCACTAGAAGGCAAGGCTCTCTGGAAAAGACAATAATTTTGGGAAAAGTTGAAGGCAACAGGAATGAGGAAAACTGAATATGAGATGGATTGACTCTCTAAAGGAGGCACAGACTTGAGTTTACGAGAGCTGGGCAGGGCTGTTGGAGACGGGTCATTTTGGAGATCACACAATCCTAGGGTTGCCATAAGTCGGAGGTGACTTGGTAGGATATAACAACACAAAATCTAAACATGAGGATACCCTGTGTAGTGTAGTGGATAGAATGACAGACAATGACTCAGAAGCCTTGGGTTCTAATCCCCGTTCAGCCACTGAAACATTGTTGAGGAAAGGGTGGAAGTATAAGAGTATAACTAGTGTAGTGGATGACAGACAATGACTCAGGAGCCTTGGGTTCTAATCCCCGTTCAACCACTGAAACATTGTTGAGGAAAGCAGAGCCCCACCTCCTCTTCCAATTCTAGGTCACCTCCGAAAGCCTTGGGTTCTAATCCCCGTTCAGCCACTGAAACATTGTTGAGGAAAGGGTGGAAGTATAAGAGTATAACTACTCTTTAATTCTCTAATTTGCCTTGAAAGCCCTATTAGGATCAATAAAAACTAATTCCAACTTGATGACACATAAGATCAACAAATTTAAAAATACCATGTTTGGCCACACAATTTCCTTTACAAAATAAATATTATGAAGGAATATTATAAAACAAAGAAGCATGCCACAATGTACTCCTCTTGACCACTCTGGAAATGTACTCTGAGGCATATTTCTCTTTCAAAGATGAAAGCAAGGCATTTATGGAAGCTTGATTATTCTCTTTTTAGAAATTAAATAGTGCCCCTAATTCTCCTAGCAGTACTGTATTCTGAAGAACACTGTCTTTTTTCCTAAAAAGAAGCTACATCTTTGTTTTGCTTTTCTTCACACAGAGAGCATAAAACAATTAAACAACAGGGGAAGTGCCATAAATGTTTCAATGGAAGAGACAACTTTCAACACTGTTTACCACTGTGTCCCCCGCACCCCCCTCCATAAGGATGCAACAAGAGCTTGAAGAAACAAGCTCTTCCTTAGAGCAACAGAACTCCTTAGAAGGCCGACATGGCCAAACAAATAAAATTTAGCAACTTCAGGGTGCCAAGGAGTTGACTTCACTCCCAAGTGTTTGGGGAAACCCCTTTCCAGTCTCTTACTGGGAGGAGCAGAGCCCCGCCTCCTCTTCCAATTCTAGGTCACCTCCGAGGTGCGCCAAGCGTGGAGTGCTGCAACACGGGTGCTGTATGCATGCAGTCAGCTGTCCCGGGAGACTTGTAGCATAGGCACCTTTCCCTAATATGCCTCCATAGTCCTCACTGGCAGCAGCCACCCCATAAGTGCAATAATCCTTTCTAAGGGCATGGCCAAACTCTACCTAGACCTGGGCTAGGCTCTCTGGTGTAGCGGGGCACAGGAGGAGGAGGTACAGGAGGAGAGCAGCCAGGCAGATGGTGAGAGGTCTGACTCGGCGGTCTCTGCTGTCGGGCTGCTTGCCCCTGCAGATTCCATTGTCAACAACATGCCCACTTCTGGTTCTCCAGCCTATGGGCTTCCCGATGCCTGGCTTCATCCCAATGAACAGCCTGCTCAGTTGGCACCAGTAGCTCAACCCAGCATCCAGCGCCCAGGCCCTGGCAGAGACAATCTCCCAGCCAGCTCTTAATGACTCCGGCAGCGACAGTACCTCCTGAGCCTCAAATGCCTCCTAGTTCGCAGCATCTGCTCAATAGCCCTCCTCTCCTGCCTCGCTCTCCCCCGTAAGTCCCATCTCGGCCATTCATTACACCTGGGGCCTCAAGGACATTGTCCATGTCCCTGCCACCAACGCCCCAGTCCACAAGTGAACTGTGGGTCGGGAACCTCACCCTGACTCTCAGGGAGGTGGAGAGCCCACTTTCAGCAGCAGGGGGATGGGGGCCGGTGCTACAACCACTAATAAAATGGTCAGTCCACCTTCTAAAAGCATACGTTGATCTTTCCATACCACAACAAAATCCTATGTTTGCACTTTGATTGTATCACTTTTATTTATGACCTTCTTCATCCCTCTTGTGTTTTCACTCTTGTCAAATATTCTTTTGCCCTTGAGAAAATGGGATTTACTTTGGGGGGGCATTTATTGTTGTGTGTGTGTTTTATCTAAAGCTCTGTTTCTAAAGTGGCCTTATGTTTAAACCAGAGTGATCTGATAACTCCCTCATATGACCTTATAACCATGGTATTTTACTACCTGCTGTTAATTTTTAAAATGTTTGTGTCCCCCTGTAGTCTTCTTATGAAACAAAAGAAATTCCTCTACAACTTCAAGAACTTGCGCTGGGCCAAAGGCCGTCATGAAACATACCTTTGCTATGTGGTGAAACGGCGAAACAGCGCCACATCCTGCTCCCTGGATTTTGGATATCTGCGCAATAAGGTACAGAGCATGGTTGAAACTTATTTTTACCTCTGCACTTCTGAAATATAGACTTCCCCGAGTAGTGCAGGAAACTGTGCCTACTTTTGCCATCTTGTCCAAAGTTCTACCAATCTGTGCCATTCCCAACTTGAAGGGACTTCCATTTTGATTACTTTCCTGTGTTAGTGTCATCAGGAGTAACCACATTGCAGTATCTCTTGAGTTCTAGTAACATGATCATCATATGGAAAAGGCATGAAAACAGCAACCACACAGCTAACATGTCATAAGTTTTGGGTTTTAAATCTGCAGAAGTCGGCACAGCGGTTCATTACGTGGATGTATTGATTTGCCCTTAGCTATCAATGGATCTCCATTTCCTATTCTGTTTTTCTGCCAGTTATCCATATACAGTACGGTATCTACTACATCTACCAACTGATTAACACATATGTACAGAATCAAATCGCAAAACTTTATCTAAATCCTACCACTCTGAGATTGGAAAAAATATATTAATCGTGAATTAGAGCTAGATGTGTGTTAATGTTACAAAGAGGTGATTAAGGCAGCCTTTCCATGTATATGAAATTAGGTTTCAAAGGAATCTCATGAAGACCAAACTCCGAACAAAGCAAGCTACTCTGAGTAGTTCCAGAGGTGACACGAACTTATGCTGTGACACATAGCATTCATCCACACTGAGCATTTATTCAACTTTTCTTGTATCCACGATGCTATTACAACATCCGAGGATCCACAGGATGCAAGATTTAAATTACTGTCCACAGAGTTAAAGTGGGACAAAAAAATGATTGCTTCCTGGGGCCTTTTCCATCACTGCTAGATAGGGCTGTGTTTTCCTTCTGCTCTGCAGTGATCTACCCCACTGCCCAGTCTGTACGTAGACCCCAGTACCACACCAACAGATGCCAATTGTACTTTGTGGATGGATGTCATTTGATGAAACTTATTTATGGGCATGTTTAAGGTGATCAACGTCCAGAAGGAATGGGAAAGGGGGCTAAAACCAAAAAGAGGCTTTTAGTCTCACTTTGGGGTTCTTTCATAGATTCCTGATACACAGCCTCTTAAACAGGAAGGATCCCTATAAACAAAAGGAAAACATGAAATTTTGATGAGTTTTCATGTTTATGAAACTTTTCCTTCCACCAAATCACCTAGGAAATATTCTTTGCCTTGGTGCCACCACAGTGCACCTCCTTGCCCAATCAGCAGTATTCTTTCTCCTCTCCTTTCTATGCTCTGTCACCCCCATGCATGACCTTGCTTCCTCTTTTCCTTTCTTTTCTTTGCCTTGATGAAACCACCACTGTGTGCCTCCTTGTCACACCACTCTTGGGCTTTCTCCTCCATGTCCTTGGCTTGCTGCCACCACCATGTACCTCCTTAAGAAGTCAAGGGGTGCATGAAAAAACTGAAAATGAAAGCAGGTCTGTCTGTTCCCCCCCATTGCCAAAAGAAACCAAAATGAAACAAAAACAAATGTTTCCATCATGTACATCCCTTGATTTCATCTCCTGCATTCCTTAGTGCTGCTCATGTTTCCTTACTTTAGGATGTCAGGGTAGTTCATGTGTTTCTTAATTTTGTCACTTTTGCACCAGAGCCAGAAGTTAAATTAGAAACAGGGCAAAGGGTCGGGGTGGGGTAGGGGGAAGTCTAAGCAAAGATCTGAGAACTCTGGTTGAGTACAGTGGGGTCTTGACTTGAGAACTTAATCCGTATTGGAAGGCGGTTCTCAAGTCAAAAAGTCTGTAGGTCAAGTCTCCATTGACCTACAGTGCATTGAAAACCGATTAATCCCATAACATTGCATTTCATCTCCTGCTCATATTTCCTTACTTTAGAATGTCAGGGTGGTTCATGTGTTTCTTAATTTTGTCACTTTTGCACCAGAGCCAGAAGTTAAATTAGAAACAGGGCAAAGGGTCGGGGTGGGGTAGGGGGAAGTCTAAGCAAAGATCTGAGAACTCTGGTTGAGTATAACAAGGAGAGACAATAGAAGAGTGCCTGGGAAACACCATCATCATCATCTTAGAACTGTAGGGCTAGAAGGAACGATATGGATCATCCAGTCCAGCCCTGTGAAGGAGGCACTGTGGGGGAATCAAACTCCCGACCTCTGGCTCTGCAGCCAGAGAAACCTAGGCCACTGAGCAAGAAGGCAGAGAAGATGTCTGCTGTTCCCATTCTCTATTTTTGCAAACTTATACCAAATAAATAAATAAAATTAGAAAGCATTGGAATGAAAAGATGGAAGTTCAAGAAGGGCACAACCAGGAGAGAAGGGAAGAGAAAATAAAGTAGACGGGTAGGGAGGGCTGAGAAGATGGGCAAAAAGGGGGGTGGCCATCTAGGAGTGCGACGACGTAGTCAACTATGGCAGCATTTGGTCAGCTTTTAAAATGGGTGAATTTGAAGTATTTTTAAACTGATTGCAGGTCACAAAAGCCGATTTGAATTGGTCCAGCTCTTTTTTGCTCTCAAAATAATTATTTTTTCTCTCTGCTGGAAGGTTTATGCTTTTTTCAAGCTGGAATGGTTCAAACAGTCTTTTCCCCATGTGGTTAGCTGTGTTACATTCTTGTAAATATGCGGGGGTGGTGGTGGCAATATCTGTAGCTAGTGTTTTGGTGACATAGATAGTTGGGGATTCTAGTTGGCTGGGGGGGCAACATTCAAAAGTAAAGCACTCTGATTTTAATGTGGGGGATTGGGTGCTAGTGCTGAATCATGTCAAAGAGAATAAGCTTCAGATTGTGCAGGAAGGTGCTTATTGTTGTGAAGCAAAAGCAATTAATTATTTAATTAACAGGTTTGCAAATGGACTTTAAAAGTTTATCATGTCAATAATTTAAAACATACATGGCAAGGTAATTCCTGCATAAATCATTCTGACATGAGAATTATGATCTGTTTTGCAAAATTACTGTTCAGACATTTAATGTTCTGTACTCTAGGACTGTGAAGTACCTTGTTTTTTTATATATATATAAAAGTTTTTGAGAAATGTGGCAGGCTGAAGCTTTAAAAAGATCAGCACAGGCAGGACCAGAGGAAGGAAGGATTGGGAGAGGTGGGAACAGAAGAAGGAAGGAATCATAGAATTATAGAATCGTAGAATAATGGAGCTGGAAGGGACCTAGCAGGCCATCAAGTCAAAGCCCCTGCTCAATGCAGGAATCCAAATCAAAGTGCTTCTGTAGAAAAGTTTTTGAGAAATCTAGTAGTCTGAGGCTTTAAATGAGAAAGTGGCTGTTGATCTGGTGATCCTAAGGGATGTTAACTTATCCTTCACTTCATGCAGAAAAATGTCTTCATCTGGACGTGTTTCCTATTCACCACCACTCTTGGCAGCAATTCTCAGGGAGCAATTACAGATGTGTGTGGAGAGCTGGTACAGGGAACACCAGCCAGCAACAAATACTGTGCCACTAATACCATCTCATCAATACTTGGATGATTTATCCAGATCTGCAGCAAAATTTATAAGAAATAAATGCCAGAGTAACTCAGAGAAACTCTGAAACTGGGGGAGACACCGCAGATGCTTTCATTACTTAAGGATTTCCCTCCAGTAGTCACAAACTATTTCTGATGTATGATTGCAGCCTAGACAGAGAAGACAAATTGTATGTTAGAATGTTTCCCCCACAACTCCTTTCTGTTCACAGATATAAAAGTCATGTTCAATTACAATGGTGCCTCGCTAGACAGCTACCCTGCATGACAGTTTTTTCGCTAGACATTGGCTTTTTGCGATCACTATAGCGATTCGCAAAACTGTGATTCCTATGGGGGAATTCTGCTGGACAATGTTTGGTCCCTGCTTCGCAAACCGATTTTAGCTAGACGGCGCTTTTGACAGCTCCCTCCACACTCGCAAACGGGTGTTTTCAGGACCTAAGCTTCGCAGCGATTTAAACATCTGATCAGCGGTTCACAAAGTAGCTTTCCTATGGCCGATCTTCGCTAGACAACAACGATTCTTCCCCATTGGAATGCATTAAACAGGTTTCAATGGATTCCAATGGGGAAATGCTTTTCGCTAGACAATGATTTTGCTAAACAGCGATTTCAGTGGAACGGATTATCATCATCTAGCGAGGCACCACTGTACTCTTTTCTCTGAGGTGGTATTTTCCTCTGCATGTGGAGCTATTTTGGTGAGGGTGTACAATAGAAATAGAAGACTTGTTGTTTGAAATAGCACAATACAGGGAAATCTTTATAAAACTATACCTTTTCTCTGAGGTGGTGTTTTCCTCTGCATGTGGAGCTATTTTGGTACAATAGAAATAGAAGACTTGCTGTTTGAAATAGCTCAATACAGGGAAATCTTTATAAAACTATACTTACTGTATTAACAAACACTTATTTGTGGAGCCACCAACACAGTTGTGAAAGTAAGGAACTTCTAGACTTTTGTTACATTCTCCTCTGCCCAGTTTTCTCACACCTACGTTCGGACTGCCTTATACCCTTTTGTGTCCCTGCTTTAGTCAGGTTGCCATGTTGAAGTTCTCTTCCTGCGTTACATTTCTACCTGGGATCTGGATCCAAGGCATTGCTATCGGATCACTTGGTTTACCTCGTGGAGCCCCTGTTACGACTGTGCCCGCCATGTGGCTGATTTCTTAAGCGCCTATCCTAACTTGACCCTGCGCATCTTTGCTGCCCGCCTATACTTCTGTGAGGAACGCAATGCTGAGCCGGAAGGGCTGAGACGTCTGCACCGCGCAGGAGCTCAGATTGCCATCATGACCTTCAAAGGTGAGATAAATCAGAATTGGGGATTTTAGGAGATGGGAGCAGGTGTGAAGTGGCAGAGACGGTTAAGGAACAATAAGAGGCATTCATATGCTGAAATCAAAATTGAAAGAGCCTTCAGAGTAACAGTTCTTCTCCCTAAAGGAAACCTGGGAATTGCAATTCCATGAGAAGGAGGCCTACAAAACCTCTAATAGCAAATAAGCCCCATTATATCAAAACAAGCACATCCAGGATTCATTTGAAGTAGCTCTGGCAGAGGAAGTGATATAAAAACAGTTGTGAATGTTTTGCTATGTCTTAAGAGGCTGAATTGACATTTCTGTTTCTATCTTCTGTTAGATTATTTTTACTGCTGGAACACCTTTGTAGAGAATCGCAACAAAACTTTCAAAGCTTGGGAAGGGCTTCACGAAAACTCTGTACGCCTTGCCAGAAAACTTCGTCGCATCCTTTTGGTAAGGATATGTATCCCTGCCCCCCCCTTTTTTGCTGGGATGGGTTTTCTCCTAGATTTTGCCTCCTGTTTCTTTTCTTCTTTGCCCTTGTTCTCCTCTCTTCCTTGCCATTTTCTGCCTTGTCTGGCAGTGAAATCCAAACTCAAAAGATATGCTGGCTATAGTGGATTTCAAATGAGTGGAAGCCTTACCTTTGTACCTTTGTAATCTCAGATCTGCTGACACAACAGGATCTGCTAGAACAACTGCTATACAGTACTAGCTGATCTCAGTCAGCACAAGAGCCCAAAAGGGCTTAGAGACAGGGAGGAGTGGGAGAGAGGGGAGCTCATTTATGACAGATCCCAAACCCCTCTTAGCCCATACTCTGAACCACTATGAAGCAAGCACAGTGTTCGGACAGGGTCAGAGTAGTCATAAGTCATGTTCAACAGCCCTGAGTTGAGAGAGATTTGGACTGAGCATAGCCTCAGCTGGAACAATGTCAGTAAATCCAGATCTCAGCCATCCTGGTTGGTTACAATTGTGCTCATAGCACAGTTTTCAAACCTGCTACCATTTTGTAGTTCTAGTTTGCACTACGGTTTCTACTCTTGGTTCAACATTATTCTTCCTTCACGTTTATTTTCCCCTTTTGCTCCTCTCAGTAAAACTACACTCTTTCTGTCTATTGCATTTCCATTTTCCCTCTGTTCCTTTGTTCTTATTGCTCCTTTCTGGTCTTGATAGTTTTCTTTCCTCTGGCCTCCTTCATCTGTTGTCCTCCAATTGCTTTCTGAAAATCTGACCATCCATTTCTCTCTCTTTTTGCACAGCCACTTTATGAGGTAGATGATCTGCGAGATGCCTTCCGAATTCTTGGACTTTAAGGTTCTAAGATGATGGGTCATGGGGAAGAGAAGTGTCATGCCAGCAACATGATAGGAAAAATAGTCCCGAGGTCTTCAGCTTTTAGCCTCCTCTTTCCTTTACGACTGCCATTGAGTGTTTGTAAGTCTGCATGTCAGAAAAGATGGGGATGATTCTCTGAGACTACTTTTTTTTTGCACATTGGTGCTCTGTGTGTGTGCATGTGTGTGTGTGTGTTTTATTAGAAGCCAGAACAACAGCTGAGTATTGAGTAACATCATTGATGAAAATTTCAAAATCTTAGATATTAATGGCATATATGTTCAGCCTTTAAAGAAAATACTAATTTTCTGTGGCACAGGAGGTTACATTTGAATCTTAATAACCAGGATGCGTCACAGTGAGCAGCCCACAAAACCACTGATGCTTCTTGTTGCACTAAGTGGAGATCTACTGACTACGGATATGCTTGAAAACCATAATGTGGCCATTTATCCCACAGCAGGACTGCTGGCTAGGTATTGGCTTTCTGTTCCGATATGTAATAATTTCATTTTACTACATTTCTATACTGGATCTATATTATGAGCAAGTATTGGCAGAAATGCCCTACAGTGGTCTAAAAGTGATGCCGGCACTGCACGGCTGCATTCTCTGCTTTGTCCTCTTGCCCCATTTACTAAGAACTGGGAAACTCCTCTGCATGTGTTTCCCACAAAGCAGAGAAAAGAAAGTGAGAATATGTCAGGCTGGCTGAAAATAGTCTGCAGTATTCTTTTAAATGCATATATTTAAAAGAATACTGCAGGCTATTTTCAGTCCAGCATAAGAAGCTACATTTCCCTACAATTTGGCAAAAGTAAAATATGAGGATTTAGAATGTTTATGGTAAACTGAGAATAGATATGTTTTGAGGGATACTTTGATCTCCTCAAAGGATACAAAGTAAATTAATTTTTAAAATATTAATTAGGAAAGTGTAAATTTGACTTTTTAAAGTCTTCAAGTAATGCAAATGCTTCCCCAATAGAACCAATAAAGATGGGGAAATATACAAAGAAAAGCTGCAAAAAAATAGAAAATGAAAAGATTTCTCCACAGACATCCTACCATAGTCAATAAAACCCAAGGAGGACATAAGGAATTTATAATTATAAATTATCTCATCTGCCCCCAGATGATTGCTCTGTCAATCAACTGAAGCTCTCCCCATTTTAAAGACACTTATTAACAACAAATTATATGTACAGATTCTACGTACAGGCAAGATAGGTAGTACTTGAGATCAATACATACTAAAAGAAGAATATTATAATTTAGATATTGCAAAATAAATAATAAAGATGTATATCATTTGTCCACCTATCATTCAAAAAAAGAAAAAGAAATAAATGATATCCATCTTTTTACAAAATTGTTTTCATATAGTTTATTTCTCTAGAACACACAAAATACAGATCATTACAATTCTGCATCCCTTTTCAAGATTAGATAAAGGGAGAGTCTCCCCCACACACAACAAAAAATTCTGAAGAGGTTTTTAGTGGCCGCTAGAATACTAAATAATGTCAGTTTCCAGAGAGGGATAGGAAATTTTAGACTCTTGGTCTAACACACACATGACCTCTAGAGGTACGGAAAAGAACTGAAATACTGATTATTGCTGTGGTAATTACCATATTAACAGTGGCCATTCACAGAACATTTGTTTCATAATAAAATAGATATCCATGCTTTGGTGAGCTGATGAAGACATGTTTGTATTAACATGCCTTGCTTTGATCAAGCGATCCTTTTCCAATTTTTGAAATATAATTCAACAAAATAATCACGGGGCACTACAGAGTATGATGAGATAGTCCAAAATAAAAACAAGAGAGAGAGACTCCCAGATCAGAAAGCACTCAGATCAGATACCTGAGAAGAATAAGGGACAAGTATAATTAGCACTGTCACTAATGATGTGACTAGACTGAAGTCGAAAGGATGTACACAGAGGCGAAAGCAATATCTTATGCATACACAATTGGAACATGAAACACAACAAGTATGAATCAAGGTAAACTTGAAACTATAAAGTAAGACCTTTTTGTTACAGCAGCTCCAACTGGCTGCTGATCCATTTCCGGGCACAATTCAAAGTGATGGTTTTAACCCATGAAGATATATCTCAAGGACTGCATCTCCCTCTACAAACCTGCCCAGGCATTAAGATAATTAGGGGAGGCTTTTCTCTCAGTCCCTCCACCTTCACAGATGCATTCGAGGATTGCACAGAAGAGGGCCTTCTCTGTACCTGCTCAGAGACTCTGGAACTCCCCCCCACAGGAGGCCAGGCTGGCCCCATCTTTCCTGTCCTTCCACAAACAAAGAGCTTTCTCTTCAGGCAGCCTTTCCCTCAGTCACTGGCTGTCTGAGAGGGGCTTTTAAATGGTTTGTTGAGCCTTGTTGCTTTTAAGTGGATTGCAGTACTGATTTTATTTACCATTTTAAATATAATATTTGTTTAATTCTTTTTAAATATTTGTATATTTACTGTTTTTAGCTTTTAAATATTGCCTTTTAATTATGTAAGCTGCCTTGGCTCGTCTTTAAGGAGAAAGGCAGGGTTAAAATATTTTAAATATTATAAAACATAATAAAATAAAATAAGAAATGGAACACTTAAAAATTGCTGTGCTTGGCGTTTGTGAACTAAAGTGGACAGGAATGGGACATTTTCAGTTAGATAATTACAGAAATGGCAAACTTAGAAGACATGGAATGTCTCTTGTACTGAGGGTAAAATGGGAAAACCCACCAACATAACCATTATTCAAGTCTATGCTCCAGCTAGAGATGCTGAAGATTGAAATCTTTTATGCAAACATCAAGGAGGAAGTTGATCACACACTGGAAAAAGCTCTGTTTATAATCATAGGTGACTAGAATGCAAAAATAAGAAAAAACCCAGTGTCATTGGAAACTTTGGCCTAGAGGTCAGAAATGAAGCAGGAGAGCAACCCACAAAGTTCTGTGAAGCCCACAATTTGCTTATTGCAAATACATGCTTCAAGCAAACGAACAGACAACAGTACATGTGGACATCACTGAAGGGCCAATATAGATATCAAATAAACTATGTAATTGAGAGTATGTAATTCAGAAGAGCACCCCTTCATGGATTGCTGCCTTGTTCTGGCGAAGGGGCTTGAGTAATTCAGAGAAACATCTCTCTTCTCAGAATTGTAGGGAAGCTGCTTGCCCGTGTTGTGCTGAAGAGGCTCCAGGTGCTTGCAGACAGAGTATATCGTGAATCACAATTTGGATTTCAAGCTAATGGATCCATCATTGACATGGTATTTTCCCTCAGAGAGTTGCAGGAGAAATGTAGGGAACAACAACAGCCACTCTTTGTGGCCTTCATAGATCTCACAAAGGCCTTTGACTTGGTTAGCAGGGA